AGGGAAGTTGCTTTCACTTCTGTTGGTGAGAAAATCAGGTGGGGAAGCTGCCACTGGGAAAGCCATTTAACATTACTTGTGTAGACCTCCTGTGGGAGAATATGCACTATTATGTTCTTTATTCCCCCTGGTTGTTAAGATTTTATTTTTATTTATTTTCATTAATAAATAAATTGGGGGGGGGTTCTTACAGCGCTTATAACAAATCATACATCAATTTTATCAAACTCATTTGTACACATGTTGCATCATCATTTTCAAAACATTTCCTTAGAATGTTTTGAAAGAATAATATCTGAGGTCTTAAAAGTTTGCCTTGAAACAAAGCAGCCATGGAAGTGATGGGTCAACTAAGTTCACACAAAGAGGCATACCAGTCAGTGTGATCCAATGATTGTAAATAATAAAATCAAAGTCTGGAGGAGGTAATAGCTGTATTTGAACTTAAATTCTGGGTCCTCAGTTCACAGAAGGCCATGGATGACTATGAAAGCCCCAACTTCATTTTTAAGGTCCTCATGTGGATTAACTTCCACAGAATCCCCGCTGACCTTTGACCAGGGATATAAATAAAACGGTTATCCGAGACAATGATTTGGAATGTAGACTAATGCCAATGTAGTTAAAATTTATCACCTTATGATTTCTTCTTCCTTTAGACCCATGTGAAATTTTTTTCTATTTTCTATTTTCTGCTCTTTTCAATCGAGATCTTTCTTTTTCTTTTTTAAATTTTTTGGGGGGAGTGTATGTGTTTCTTTATATGAAGTCCAGGGTAGGTAAATCTATCGAGACAGTAACTGGATTAATGATTTCTTCAGGATATGGTAAGAGAGGTATGATAAGAAATGGGGAGCAAAAAATGAGTCTAAGAGAAGAAAATGTTATAAAATGGATTGTGGTGATGATTGCAGAACTCTTTTTAATATGTTTAAACCACTGAATTGTACGCTATGTGAATTTTATGTTAATAAACTACTAAAAATGTACGGCACTTTCATATGGAGTATCTTTTAGCTGTTTTCCTTAGTATTTGGGAAAAAATCAATTCTACATTGAAGAGAAAGGAAACATGATATTTACACCAAGTCTACATGTAAGACAATCCACTTTGTTCCATAAATTTTTGATATTTCTACTACCACTGACTACTAGGCTTAATTCAGTAGTCAGTGACAAAGATTACAATCAACTGAAATAGAGCTGTAATATATTTTTTCTAGCACTTTATATTTCACCTAATATTCTTTCTTTTTAAAAATTACCTCATTGGGAGCTCTTACAGATATTATAAAAATACATAATTCAATTAGATCAAGCATAATTGTAAAATTGCCAAGAATAATGCTGGATATAATGGTTTAGATTGTGTTGAACTAGGTGGGCAATGTTTGCACGTTTTATTGACTGCATTGGAGTTGGAGACTGATGGAAGAATTAAAGCGTAATTGGTTAAAACTTAACTTGCACGAATGTGGAGAGAACAGGGTGAACAAAGAAATAATGTCTAAGATGAGAAGCTCGTTGAGTGTTTGGCTTGGGGCGTGCGAGGACTTTGAGGAAGAAGGGGAGGAAAGAGGTACTTTCACTTGATAGTGGGTTCTGAGGAGACAGCAGTGGAGATACCCAACAAGCAGCCAGCACAATCAACCCTGAAGCTGCAGACAGAGGCTGAGAATGATTCTGGAAGTATCAGTACACAGAGAGTGCTGATACCAGGAAGGATTTAAAATTTTCCTCCAAGGAAGGGTCAGAGTGGAGACCCAAAGCCCACCTGTAGACAAGCTGACGTCCCCTCACAATAGGGTCCCACAAGAAGGGACAATTCAGCCAGGGTGCAGTATAGAACTGATGAAACACGACAGCGTTCCACTGGTTCTTTAATGCTTCTCTCCCCCACTATCATGACCCCAGTTTTACCTCACAGATCCTGCTAGACTGAACCATGTACACTGGTACAGATAAGAGCTAACACACGGAAGCCAGGACAGATAAACCCCTCAGAAACAGTAATGGGAATAGCAATACCATGATTGGGGAGGGGGGGAGAAAGGAGGAACCAAAGGCAATGACTGATGTATAACCCCGCCCCCAGGGGGATGAATAACCGAAACGTGGGTGAAGGGATACAGCAGACTGTGAAAGATATGAAATAATATCTAATTTATCAAGGGTTCACCAGAGCGGGTCGGGTGGGGGAGGGAGGGAAAAAGGAGGAGCCGAAAATAATGGCTCAAGTAGAAAGATAATGTTTTGAAAATGACGGCAACATATGTACAAGTTTGCTTGATATCAATGATTTATGAATTGTTATAATATCTGCAAGAAACCCAATAAAAAGACTAAAAAACCACTTATCTTCTTCCAAAGGGTAGGATATAAATAGTGCTAAATGGAAAGGCTCTCAAAGAGTTTTACCATTACAGAAAAACAAGCTTAATCATGTGTGTTTTATAAGGAAAATAATCTATGGAAATATGCTTTGTTTCATAATTTCCCCAAAGGGAACGATATTTAAGATCATGAAAGAATGAAAATTGATTGCTTATTTTAATTCTACTATACAGTAACACATGAACAATATCCTTATATTTAGTCTCTAAACTATGGCTATAATTAAAAAAAAATAATTTTATTGGGAGGGAGAGGCAGGGGAAAGGAAGTGGGTGTTAACAAACCCAGGGACAAGGGAAAAACAAGTGATACAAAATCAATGGCAAGGAGGGTGTAGGAGGTCTGGCAGGGCTGGATCAAGGACAATGTAACCGAGCGGAATTCCTGAAACTCACATGAAGGCTGAACATGATAGTGGGACAAGAGGAAAGTACCAAGAAATAAAGGAAAGAACTAGGAGGCAAAGGGCAGTTATAGAGATCTAAATACAGGCATATACAGATGTAAATATATTTATATATGACAAGAGGGAAATAGATCTATGTACATATATTTATAGGTTTAGTATTAAGGAAACAGATGGACAGTGGGCCCCTACTCAAATACTCCCTCAACACAAGAACACTTTGTTCTAACAATTTGGCAGTCTGAGATGCTCACCTTCCTGACATGATCGCTGAAGACAATGAGTGCACAAGTATATGTTGTGAAGAAAGCTGATAATGCCCAGCTACCAAAAGATATAGCATTTGGGGTCTTAAAGCCTGAAGATAAACAAGCAGGCATTTAGCTGAGAAACAACAAAGCCCACATGGAAGAAGCACACCAGCTTGTGAGATCACGAGGTGTCGAAGGGATCAGGTATCAGGCATCAAAGACCAAAAAAATCATAGCCTTGTGAATGAGGGAGTACGGAGTAGGGACCCAGGGCCCATCTGTGGGCAATTGGACATCCCCCTGCAGAAGGGCCAATGGGGAGGAGACGAGCCAGTCAGGGTACAGTGTAGCAATGATGAAACATACAGTTTTCCTCTAGTTCTTGAATACTTCCTCCCTCACATTATCATGATCCCAATTCCACCTTACAAATCTGGCTGGACCAGAGGATGTACACTGGTGCAGGTGAGAACTGGAAACACAGGGAATCCAGGACACATGAACCCCTCAGGAGCAGTGGTGAGAGTGGTGATACAGGGAGGATGGAGGGTAGGTAAGGGAGAAAGGGGGAAAAGATTACACGGATCTACATATTACTTCCTCCCTGGGGGACAGACAGCAGAGAAGTGGGCAAAGGGAGACATCAGACGTAAGATACGACAAAATAATAATTTATAAATTATCAAGGGTTCCTGGGGGAAGGTGAGTGGGGATGGAGGAGAAAAATGAGGATCTGATACCAAGGGCTCAAGTAGAAAGCAAATGTTTTGAGAATGATGAGGGAAACTAATGTACAAAAGGGCTTGACACAATGGATGTATGTGTAGATTGAGGTAAGAGCTGTACAAGCCCCCAATAAAATGATTTAATTATTTAAGAAAATTTATTGGGGGATCCATCCATCCATTGTGCCAAGCACACTTGTATATATGTAAAAGTAAAAAGTTTTAATGTTAGAGCTTAGCCACAGTAACGCCATTTTGTGTAGATGCGCCATTTTAAATTAACTGCCAGTTAAGACATCAGCACCACCCTGCTCCCGTTAAAGATTGCCACCCTGTTTCTCAATAACAGGATGCCTGCGGTCAGCCACCTGGCCGACCACAGGGAACATGGAAGTTCCCAGAAGTCCATATTTAACCTATGTTAACCGACTTTGTTAACCGACCCCCACCAGGTGCCTGTCCTCAATTTAAACCCAGAAAAATTTTCCCTTTCGCCAATCAGAACCCTGTAACTATGCTTCTGCTTCTGTACACCCGCTTCTGCTTTGCCCAAATCCTATAAAAGGTCCACTGCCCCTCCGCTCGGGACGCTTGGTCCCCGAGAGTCCATAGCGTCCACCAGCGCTGGTGTTCTGACAATAAACTCCTCTTGCTGTTTGCATCCGAGTGGCTGTGTCTCGGTCTTTGGGCGGGGGCCTCCCCGGAGAAGGACTTCTTCGGAGAGTCTTTCATATATATTCCCATCATTATTTTCAAAACATTTTCTTTCTACTTGAGCCCTTGGTATCAGCTCATTGCTACCCCTCCCCCACCTCCCCTCTCTTATTAACCCTTGATAATTTATAAAAAAATTTGTTTTCATATCTTACACTGACCACTGTCTCCCTTCACCCACTGTTCTGTTGTCCGTCTCCCTGGGAGGGGGTTGTGTGTCGATCACTGTGATCGACCTTCCCCTTCCCCTCCTGATATCGCTACACTCATTATTGACCCTGAGGGGGTTATCTGTCCTGATGCCCTGTGTTTTCGAGTTCTTATCTGTACCAATGTAGCAAGTAATATCAAGTAACAAAATCTACTAATTCATTCCCTGATAATCAAATGAACCCTAGTCTGATTAAATAAGAAACTGAAAAAGAGTAAGCAGCAATAAAGTAATATGGTCAATACACTGACTTAGAGCTGTGGTACCCTACAGTTAAGGTCTGTAAAATAATATCTTACCTCAGAGTCAGAGCTGTCCAGTTCAGCCAAAGTGGGAGCTTTGAGGAGCTTTTTCCTCTGCACAGGTACCTGCTGTGTGGCACTTAAATCATATTCTTTACTTGATGAGGTCAAACCATTCACCACAGATGATTCTGTCACATTCTTTGGAGACTCAGGGGTAATTGCATCTGGTAAACAGAAGCCAAAAGCTTACCTTTCTCTGACCCAGAAAAGTGATCAGTGAACAACATGTACTTTGCAAATTACACACACCTGAAAGAAGAGATAATGTAACAGCATTTCCATACAGCTCAGATATTAAACTGCGGTTTGATAATATAAAGCTGGTTTCTAGAAAGCTATTTTTTGTTAGATATTAAAGTACCTATATACTTGAGTATAAGCTAACAGGGATATCAGCGGAGGCACCTAATTTTACCATAAAAACTGCATTAAAAATGTGCTGGAAAACTTGGCTCATGCACAAGTATATATGGTACATTAGCAACATTTATAGGTAACATCAAAGTCTTCATTTTACAGATGAAGAAATGTGACCCAGGAAGGGTAGGTTTACTTTATACCCTCTAAAGACCTTGTTTGAAATGGGGACGGGACCATATAGAAAACCTTATGACACTATCAAATCTGAAAAAGTTTTGATTTAGAAATTAAAGTAGCTAATAGTTTACTATAGTTATATAAGAATTTTAAATGGGAATATAGAATCTAGGATAAATCTGACATAGTTATGAGATAACTGGACAGGAAAGCAATATAACAGATGAAAGAAACTGAAGCAGTGTAGTATTGTGTGTTAGTCCGGGTAAATTGAAAAACAAATTCACAGACACTCATATGTGTACAAGAAAGAGCATAATAGACAAGAGCAATTAAATATTGAGAAAATATCCCAGCCCAGCCCAGATCAAGTTCATAAAGTCTTCTAGAAAGTCCTTTCCAGACTCACGAAATACATGCAATGATGCCATGCAGGAAGTTCACAGGCCAGTGGGTGTGAAGTCATGTAGATCGAGTGGCATAGTAAGCATCATAGCGCTGGCAGGATTCTCCACACATCTTCTCCGGTTCCAGAGATGTGGCTCCATCAGCCTCTCTCCATGTACCTTCTCCACAGGGCTATCTCGCAAGGAGTGATGCTGCATCCCACCTCCAGCGAGCTATTTATCTTTGTTGTGCCTCCAAATGAGGTCATCAAGCTCTGATCTGATTGACAGGATAAACTCTACCCCTTCACTCTTCAGTCTCAAATTGACAACAGATTATGTAACTCCCACGTATTATAACATGCAGATTGTTTTGGTACAATATTTAGCTTTACTGCTAGTTATTCAATGCTTAAGCAAGTTACTTAACCTCTTGTTTCCTTATCTGTAAAATGGACTTATTCTGAGAATTACATATGAAATGCTTACTTAATATTGTGTCATGTAGAGGCAGTACAGAGTAGATATAGCAATTACTAACATTGATTTTTATCTCTCTTTGCAACGAAATACTAAATAGGAGAATAGAGATAAAGTCACATAGCTAGTATATTGCAGAGCTGATAATGTGAAGCTTCTTATGGAATCTCAAGCTTGTCTGTTTCTGAATGACAAAACTCCAACAGAAGTATTACTAATTAGCTTCAAATTTTCAAAGAATTAAATAGGGACCATAATTAATAAGTAACTACTATATTAACATATTCAAAAATGAAGATGGATAATGGCTGAGTAATTTAATGTACAACCATGAAAATGAACTTATCCATGCACAGGGAATAGTCTATAAAGCTATTATAGTTGAAGGTCAAGGTTGGGCTAAGTAGTAAATAAAGTAGATAGGAATAATGCTCATAAAGGGCAGGAGAGAATTTAATGAAGTTCTTGTAAAATATAAACATGCTATATTTTAATAGCTTCCCTCATCAAATACTATTTATATATGGGAGTTTAAGCATGGAAAAGTGGAATTAAAAGACAATAGAATTTTTCCATGAATTTTCATAAGGCCCTTCATTTACTTGAGGTAGATTTCCAGGAAACATTCAGTATGTGTGTAGTAACCCAGCTGGGCATAAAAGACACCATGTTATTTAAAACTTCCTTTGTCTGTGCTTAACCCTGCCAGCAGCTGGCTGCCCCTAACCCCTCCTGATATCCTGACAGACCTTGACTCTTGAGATGTCTCTGGACACCTCCTGATATCTTGTTTGCCCAATTAGCAAGAAATCTAATCTGCCCTGTCGAACCCTGAGGTATTACCTGCAGATGCTCCCCTTAGCCCCTCCCAATATCCTGCCTGCCCAATAAGCAAAGAATGCAACTGCCTGCTTGTTCTCCCTTAAACCAGGCCTCTGCCTAACTACAAAACTAATTTACTTTCTTTGTTCAGGGTCGAGAGCTTTTTAGGCTCTAGCCTCCTCTCAGTCCTGCTGTAATAAAGACTTCTTTTTGATTAAGTGGTATGTGACTTAATCTCGCATGGGTTAGAAAATGTGTGTGTTTTGATGTTTTTCCTTAAAACTGTCTAAAAGTACAATGTAAATGATTTATTATGGCAATTTTGTATATCTAATTTAATATTTCTAATTCTTGGCTTATTTTTTTTAAAAGCAATAAGGTAAAAGTTGAAGACAAGGTTTCAGTAAGACAAGGGGAAGAGAAAATGAAAGAGGGTAGTAAGGAAGAGGAGAGAGGGCAGAAAGGAACAGAAAAAGAAAGCAGACACACAAAGTGTCCATAAATACATCATCATTTTAGGTAGCAATTTTAATATAGAACTTACCCAAATAGATTTGTTTAATTAATATCTACTTAGAATTTAAGTTGCTAGAAAAATAAATAATGTAGAGAGAGGTACTGAAGTGACAAAATGAACAAAGCATAAGGTTTGTATAGAAGTTACCAAAGTTAAAATCCATTAGGAGAAGTACATGAGTAAGTAAAAAAAAAATTGCTAGGCTTTTGTTTCAAGATGGCTGATGATCACATGGAAGTGAATCCTCCAACAATCAGAAGAAAAACATTAAGAGGTCCCCATGCCCTGGCAAGGAAGACCCTGGCTGCCTGTGTGGCCTGGCAAAGAAGCCCGTGTGGCCCTGAGGCCCGGCAAGAAAGCCCCTCGCCACTTCCACAAGGAAGCCCCTGATGGTGCCTACAGTATGACAATGAAGTTCTTGGACACCTCTGTTGTTTGGCAAGGAAGCTTCTGGCATATCTGCACCCAGGCAAAGAAGCCCTTCGCTATCCATGGACCCTGGCCAGGGCAAACCAACTACTCTTACCCGCAGCCTTCCCACCATTAACAGCAATGCTGTAATGGCATGCAACTGCAGTAAATTGTGGTCCACACTCTCAAAAGAAAAACATACACAAGCAATAAACAATACACAGATCCAAAGGAATATTCTACGGAAAATTGAAACTATCACAAACAGAATTCGGAAGAGTGATATTTAGGTGCTTTTAATGGATGGAGGAAATTTTCAAAAGTACAACAGACAACAGAAAAACTAGAAACAATGCGCCAAATAGAATTCCAGAAGGTAAGTAATAAGAAAACAGAATTGGACAGCACAGTAAAAGAGCAGAGTATTAAAATCAAAGAAATGGAAAACAGAATCAATGAGCTAGAAGAAAACTCTTAACTACAACCAACAAGAGAAACAACCAACAAAAAGAGAAAAGAATTCGAGGAAAGCCTGAAAGTTATGTGGATTGGAACATTAGTAAAAGGTACAAATACTGAAATTCTGCAACAGAAGATATCTATGTGGCAGTCGCCTAATCTGGTATCAATTTAAGGATTAAGAGTGTAGGGGTGGAGTCTAGGCTGTCAATCTGGAGATAGCCAATGAGACTTCTGTGTGGGCATGGCCTTCTCCTGAGAATTCTGGGAAATCTGGTACTTCCTCCTTGGAGGCAGAAGACACCTCTGTCTCCCTGACACTCCCTGGGAGACATAGCAGCTGACAAGACACGTGGACCCACCCTGATGCAGAGACCCCTGCCAGCGCCGAGATATTTCCAATGACACTGGAACCAAAGACTTTCTACCACTGGCCTGTGATCTTCTACATTCGGCATCATTGCATGTGTTTTGTGAGTCTGAAGAGGACTTTATAGATTGGTATCGGACATATGGAATAATATAGGACTTATGGACTTGGTCTGGACTGGGCTGGGATGTTTTCTCAATGTTCAATTGCTCTTATATATAAATCTCTTTCTAATACACATGTGTGTCCATGGATTTGTTTCTCTGGTCTACCCAGACTAACACAATAAATATATGAGGTTACTAAAAAAACAAAACAAAACCAAACCCGATGCTCATTTGTTTTTGATGTGAGGGGGCTAGTGCATTTGGAATTTGTTTTACCAGGTCAGACTGTTAATCAAGCTTTCTATTTAGAGGTGCTGAAAAGATTGCATAACAGTGTGCAACATAAATGGCCTGATTTATGGCAGATGAGGGTCTGGTTTTGCCACCACGACAATGCACTTGCTCACACAGCCATTTCAGTGTGCCAGTTTTTGGCAAAAAACAGCATGCTTCTCCTGCCCCATGCACCTTACTCAGCTGACCTCATTCTATGACTTATTTTTGTTTCCGTGAATGAAGAGGGACATGAAAGGGCAGCGATTTGATGACATAGAAGAGGTGGGGGAAAAAAAAACCCCAAAAGAGGGAGGTGCTGTCAGCAATCTAAAGAGATGAGTTTGAAAAATGTTTCCAAAAAATGGAATTACAGATTTCACAAATGTATTAAGTGTAATGGAGAGTACTTTGAAGGTGATAAGGTTGTTTTATTAAAAAATTAAATACATAGCTTTGAGGGGGTAGGGAGAGAATTCTATTTTTGGGGGGGGGGGTACCCCCCACATATTAGAACAATAAACCATGGAATAAAATTTGCCTAACATCAAAAAAGAAAACTATTCAAGAGGCTAAAGAACCCCAAACAAGATAAATCCCCAAAGGAAGACATCATCTTATCTGTCATATATGAAAAAATACAGGCATTTCTAGACATGGAGAAATTAAAGGACTTTGGAAAAACAAGTCTAGCACTGCAAAAAACAAAAACAAAACAAAAACTAATGGGAACACTTTGGACAGAAAATTAACAGCAGACAGCTGAGTGGCACCACCACCTAGAAAAACAACCCTCTGAAAT